ACTGGAGAACTCGGGATCCCGTCCGCTCTCCCATAGATAAGCCAGTAAGGGTCGGACTAGTAGTTGGGTGGGTGACCACCAGCGAATCCCTGATGTTGTATGGTTTTTGGTGTTTCCATTTTAATGTGGCTCCATTCGCAGTTTTGGGTATCTGTGGTCCGCGCCATGTCGTGCCCATCAGGCCCAAGCTTCAATACCATTAAGAGTGACGTCCTATATCACGATTTGAATGCCTGCTGTATTTTGGATCTATGAGGTCTCTTTTAAATGCTGGCAGTCTGAAATGTAGACATGCCAATCGCGAAAGCCGGTTGAGCGGCCGCTATGTGCGGCCGCATGTGTTCAGTTGCCAATGCGATGATTTTTGACAGACTTCGGGTCAAATCTCCTCATTGACTCATGAGTCACTTGCTCCACACGAGAGGGATTCCTAAAATGAAGCTGGTTGAATCCGGGTCGCGTCATGCGACCGTTTCTGTTCCGATCACGGCATCGAACGATACTCCGTTAGGCGACCTTGAGTTGGCTAATCTCTGCTACCGAGCGCAGGTCGCGCATAAAATGGTATGTCCGGGTCCAGGTGATTTGAGCATGGAGTAGGAGAAGGAATACCGGCAGTACGCATCGCTTGAAGGAATCTTGGCAGTCGATCTCGCCTCATAGCCCATGTGCTACCCCCCCTGCTCGTGGCAGGAAGAACCACTGTCAGCCTTGCATGACCGCGGACGTTATTGTTGTGAGCACGAGTGCACTGGTAGTCTCATCGCCCACCGGATCGTCGTCGAATCTCAGACATTGCCGCCATCCCCACGACGGCACTTGTAGCGGCAGGCCGGTTATATGTGCACGCTGATGTCGATCACAGTCATTGATGCTCGGCTACCGTCCCACGGCTCTCCTCAGGTTGTACACTACAGTCCTCGCACCTGTGATATGAAGAGTAGATTGGGCTCATTGCCTGGCCTATGTTCATTGCTTCACGACATCTCTCGGAAGGTTCCTGCAATAGCCACGACGTCTCATGTCGTGAATCCTGATAATAAAGATAGGTAGGGAACTCTGCGGGGGGTCTGATCGGTTCCCAAAGAATGATCTCGGATCTGCTACATGCGCTGCATCTACCGAGGCGCTCAATATTCAAGATACGCCCTACGTTCAGAGACAACAGCACGAGTCGAGGCGTCTGCAGCCCTCTGCTACATCCATTCCTCCAACAATCCCTGTGGGATTCTCATAACCACGATGGGACGAACCATTCGACCATAATAATCAGCGACGGTAGACGCTGAAACTATTCGAGGGTCTGGCCAAGAAACGGCAGCTCAGCGTTCTGTGGACCGCATGATGTGTCGTTTCAAGAAGGCACACACGGTCGGGCCGTTTAGCTCGGCCGTGTAGATACAAAAGCAAGACGGACAAGTTCAATTGCGTGGAAAATGACAGTGAGACGGATGTTTTGCCCCCTCAGCCCGGCGGAGATGTGGTTTCCATGTGAGACCACTGACACTGACGGCTGAGCCTCCCCCACTCTCACAAGGTACATCTTATCGGCACGTGATGACGCTTCCCGCGCCCGATAAGGCAGCTCTTTCCGAAAAGTGTCCTTTATCGAGACACCTCGAGTGACACGACGACCCACGGCGGAGGGATACCAGACGGGACGATCACGACTCGACAGCTACACCCAGCTCTTGCAAACGCAGCACACGATTACGGCAGCGGGCACGATAAAGAAGCAAAACCTCTCTGACGCCTACCGACCATCCGATTGCATTCCCATCAGACACACACACACACACACATACACACCAAAGAAGAGGAAACCCCCCCCCCTCTCGCCAGCCCACCATGTCGGCCCTCACACACTTTGACGCCCTGCCGCTGCAGATGGACGCGCAGTCCAAGGCCATCTCGTCAGCGAGCTCGAACCGCGCGCTGACGACGGAGCTCGAGGCGCTGAACACGCTGCACCGGACGCTGCTGGGCCTCGAGACGCCGCACGGCATCCCGCCGCCGCCGGTGCCCGTGAACCCGAAGCGCAGCGCCGGCGTGGCCAAGCTGCGCGACAGCGGCAACGGCGAGTTCCGCAAGGGCAAGTTCCCCGAGGCCATCAAGTTCTACACGCTCGGCATCCAGATGGCGCTGCAGCGGCCGCCGTGGGAGCCCAACCAGCTCGTGCGCGAGGAGGTCGCCGGGCTCTACGCCAACCGCGCGCAGGCGCACATGGCGCTGACGCAGTGGGCCGAGGGCAGCGTCGACGCCGAGGCGAGCGTCGAGGCGCGCAAGGTCGGCAACGCCAAGGGCTGGTGGCGCCGCGGCCGCTGCCTGCAGGAGATGGGCCGCCTCGAGGAGGCGCGCGAGTGGGTGCGCCGCGGCCTCGGCATGGAGGGCGAGGAGGCCGAGCTCGTCGCGCTGCTGAGGGACATCGAGACGCGCATCGCCAAGGGCGTCAAGGCTTAGGTGGTTGATGCTTTCGAGGCGATGCAGTACCTCGCCACCCACGGAGTGCGTGTGGCTGTCAGACGGAGCAAGAGACTCAGGAGCCGGATGAGCACGAACGCTGAGCGAGCCAGGAGGCACCGTCCGCTCGGCAATGTCGGGCCTGGGAGAGCAGGAGTTTTCTAATTCGTTTTTTTGTATCGGATAGGATCAGTTTTCGCAATTGGGGGGTGCATGAGATACCTCGAGAGACGGACGAATGGCCGTTCACTGCGGACGATGAAGCATGGTTTGAAACGGCAGTCGCGTTGCACTTTTTTTTCGTTCTTTTCACGGACAGTCAGACAAACACTTCAGAACAGCAAGGCTCATGGTAGCTTCAGGTGTAGAATTTTTTTTTTGAAATCAAGACCCCGTGGCCAGCTGAGTAACCCAATGTAATGACGAGTGCCAATAAACCATGCCTCTGACCACCCTTTCCGGTATGCTGAGGACCGAACATCGCCGCGACTGTCTGCCAGCCAGTATACGGCGCCCACGAATCCGAGACGCGCGGAGCATCATACCTCCTCTACGGTCCGCCCTCCGAGTCTATTATCTCCCGCGAATTGACTGAGCGCAACACGGCATGTCCTATATCGTTTGCCTGACAAGCCGCCTTGTTCACGGGACCATCTCTTCAGCTCTCGACTCCGATTCACTCAGGTTTTGACGCAGTCGGCGTTGCTGAGCCTCTTCTGCCGCTTTCTGAGCCTCCTGTCTCTCTCTCTCTCTCTCTCTCTCTCTCTCCCTCTCGCTAGCTCTCTCTCCACGCCATTGAAAATCGTTTCAGTCCGTCGCTGTACGGCCGCTGTATTCAAGGTATCATTCGTATTCGTCCACGGCCTCGACCCCACGTTTTCTTCATGCAAAGAAACCCATGCTGATTGGGGAAAAAAAAGAGAAAAGGAATAGAGTGTCGTGGCGTTGCTCGTCTGCGGCACCTTAGATGGCCTGCTTCTCGCTCAGCTTCGCGGCGGGGGGTCGGCGCATGACGGCGTCCTGGCTGCTCATGCGCCTGTCGAGGGCGCGCTCGAGCTTGGCGCCGAGGGCGAGCTTGCTGAGGTTGGCGCTCTTCTCCTCGGACAGCTCGACACGTTGGGACGTCAGGGCCTTGTTCTCCATGCGGTCGAGGCCGGACTCGATGTCGCGCAGCTCGGCGTGGGCCGAGTCGGTGGTCAGGGACGGTGGGTGCCATGCTGTACGTGCTGTAGCGGACGGAGGTGCGGGCCTGGGCGTGTGTCAGAGGAAGAAGGGAAACAACGGCAATGGCAGAGACAATGTGGAAATGGAATCGTTGGCTGTGGTGGATGACGATTGTATATGTGCGCGTGACGAAGAGCAGCTGGACAGGACCGGGGATGAAGAGGAAGGAAAGGCCCTCATGATGAATCAGGGTGACATACCGAGGGCGCCATGATGGGCCGGGCGGATTCCAGGGAGGCAGGCATGTTGGCGGGAGTATGACGACGGTGCGCAGGTGTGAGGAATAAAAAAGTGTGGTCCTTGTCAAGAAGCGATCTTGGTCAAACCGGCTGCTGGGCAGACAAGAGCGGAGACAGACGATGTGACGGGGGGGTTTGAGTTGAAGGTTTAGAGGCGAGGCGAGGGGGAGGGGGGGGGGCCTTGTCGGAAATTGGGGGGCCGTCGTCTTTGTCTTGTCGTCAGGCTCGATGATAAGAAGAGCCGTGTGTGTTTCTGATTTCGAGCGTCGGTCGGTCGGAGGGGATCGATCGCGTTCGGAAATGGGGAGGCTTGAGCAAAGGGGAGTTGCGAAAGGGGCAAGACGAAAGGGGGGGGGCGATTGGTTTGGTTCGGTTCAGTTGATTATGAAGGAGGGAAGTATCGCAGGGGACGACAAGGGACGAGGGGAAGAAGGTACGTGCCGCGTGGTTCACGAGCAGGACCAGGAGCAGGCGCAGGCAGGTGCAGGACCACGAGCGGAAGGAATGCGTGTCTTGGGGAGAGTAAGTGGACGAAAGGGAGGAAGGAGGCACCTGGGATCTCCCATCTCAAACGTCTAGGCGGACCTCGACAGCCATGACCCCCGGTCACCGTCACCACCACACACTCTTCTGCCCTGTCTGGCTGTCTGGGACAGGCTTCTGAAGGGGACTCGCGCGGGTCCAGGCCAATCCCAGCGCGCAAGGCCTAAGCCACAGGGCCCCCCTTCAGGCCCCAGTTCGGCCCCTAAGCCCGCCCTGGCAGCCCAGAGTGCGGTCGGCGGACTCTCTCGCTCTCTCGCCCCTCCCCCCCTGTAGGCACCGGCAGCCCTCCAATCCGCGCCACGAGGAGTCTGGGTACCGTTCTATCACTGTGACAGCTTGGAACAGCGCGTGTCTGTTGCAGCAGGCAGTTGAGAGGTGAGTCGAGAGGCACCACAGGCAAGACGAGGAACAGGGCAGGACAGAACGAGGAACTGCTAGCTGGGGAGGCGCCGCCGCCGCTGCTGCATGCACCGCGTACGTCGTTCCTCTCCCATGCATCGTCATCCATCATACCGTCACATCCCATGTGGTTCGCGTGTTGAGGTGCCTCTCTGGGCATCTAATCTGCTGTCGGTCAAGCCGAGGTTCTGTCCTGGCTGGTTTGTACCTTTTTTTTTTTTTGTCCCAGGGTGGGAGTCATATGCAGATCACCTCGTGTCACGACCCAACAAACTGGCCATCCGACACGAAGCCAAGTAGCACACCCTACAGTCTGCTTGCCATCCCCTCCTAACCCCCATCTGCCAGGGTAATTTTCCTTCACTTTGCCAGAAGCTTAAGAAAAAGCATACAATGTCAGAGAACGACAGGGAAAATGAATAAAAACAACCAAAAAAAAAAGAAGAACCGAACTTCTCATTTCGCCCATGACGATCTGTTTCAGCCCAAGTCAACGACGCACCCCCAGCGCCTGTCAAAGACACGCAATCTAGAAACCCGCGTCGTGTTCCTCTGTCGGGGCCCCCCTCACTCTCCTTTTTGCTTGATGGACGAAGGAAAAGCTGCCGTTGCCGTTCCACCCCGACCACCACCACCCCCTCGCCTTTCTAGTCTCGATGCAGGCACTGACAAAGAGAGAAACCAGGGCCGTCGCTCGGCCACGCGTGGTGTCTGTCCCCCCTTTGCCCGCCGCGATGCGAGTGTCCTTGTACCTACCTACGTACATGTGGTTCCCAATGGGATCGGCAGCTGACGGGCGGATCTTTCCACGCGACACGCATCCAACGCTCTCCTCTGTTCTCGCTGCCCGCCTTCCTTCACACCGCGCTACTGGTCTACGGGGCACATGTGCTGACGGTCTAGCAGCCCTTTTGGCCCGCCCCCTCCTCCCACGTCCCTCCTTCGAAGCGTGCCGCCCACCAGTCTGTGGGCTCCGCCCGTGTCAGAGCGATCATGGGCTCGGTTTGGACCTTGGGTGAAAAACAACGTGCGCCTGTGTCCTCCTCGCTCCGCAGCATACATGACGGCAAAGCGAAACAAAACAAACTTCGGAACCAGCACAGAAAACCCCTTGAGAAACTGCAGAGAGGGTAGCATCAAAGTTTCACAGCAGAGAACCGAAAAGGACGACAAGAACAAGCTCTCGCCGCGCAGGACGGGAATGCATCCCCCTCGACCGCCAATGCAGGATAGGTGACTGGCCTGTCTGGTCTGGTCTGGTCTGGTGCAGCCCGGGGGGGGGGGGGGAAGGGAGAGGGGAGAGGGGAAACGGCTAGCGGCGCCCCCTGGGCGCTGCATGCTGCGACGTGGCGAAGCCGCATCCCTCATGCGCCGCGGTAGGTTGTAAGGGTGGCCACCATGCCCTTCTGCCATGTGGTCGTAGGCGACTGTCGGGGTCACCAAGAGAAGTAGAGTCAGGTAGCACTCGGCTGGCCTAGCACCACGAAACCACTGATAACGTGGCTGCCTGGAGGTGAGGACTGAGAGTCACAGAGGGGCCAAAGTGCGAGATCGGACAGCATAGTCCATGGCTACCGACCCGACCGTTCCCCTTGAATTGTGGTGCTGCCATAGGTCGGTTGTGCTCGTCAGCTCGTCATGTCTCCATCAGGCCATTTCTTCCGCACTAACGCACACCACGGCTACCGTCTCTAGCCTCCGAGAGGTCGCCGTGGTCATCTCAGTCAGCCTACCAAGGGAGATACCGGACCCTGGCCCTTGTGGGACCACTATTACCGCCACGATGATCCTCGCTTCCTCCATATGCCACCAGTCATTGTCGATAATTCAATGCAACACTACCTTTCAGCAAATGTCCTCGTCCTGCCCACAGTTACGTCGCCATTTAGGATACAATGTTGCTGCCAACATTTTCCGAATACGCCTCCATGCTCCTGACACCCGCACTGGCCCGCCCGTACATAGTGGTAGTACAATCACCATGAACCACAACCATCTCTCGCCTTAATGGACGCAGTGTTAGGGTACAAATGGCCGTGCTGTGTCGATAGAGTGCGTCGATGAAGAAAGACAAAGCTGGAAAAGACTCATATGCGATGGGATATGCGATGGAAAAATGGATCGTCATGAAAGCAGGTACACCATGTTATTCGCCTTCTATCATCATCTCATACCTCGACAGAAGCTCCACTTGGCTAGTTAGTAGTGCTTTGCCTGCCAGACCTGACCTGGGGACCAAGACTTGTCGAACATTTGGCTGATCCAAAAATACGGGTTCTCGTAATCCTCGGTCCCAATCTTGCCTATTAAAGAGTGAGTCTGTGTTCGTGTCCAGGCAGTGTCCAAGACATACCCTCGGCTTTCAACCGCGTCACACGCCTTTCTGAGTCGAGAATCAGTGTTCGTTGTGACGGCGACACACTTCCATTCTCGAGAATCTCTTCGAGGGTGAGCGCCTTGTCCTCGCCCTTGGCATTGCTGCGGCCCTTGTAGTAATCCCAATGACAGAGCATAAGAACGGCGCCATGCTGTAGATTTTCGATAAAAGGGGGCATGTCGTAGCGAAGTCGATTGTTGTGACGCTTTGCGTAGCCGTGACGGTCTTGACAGGTCAAAGTGACCACATGGAGCAGAATGTATGTAGTCATGTAAACTGTGAAAAACGGCTCGCGCCGAGGCGACTGCGTGAGTTTTTCCAGCCCTTTGAGTACCTTGGCACGCAGCTGCCGCAGCACGTAGATGGGATTCAGCCTGTCAAACTGGGCAACGACCATCTTGGGAGTGGGGGCCTTGTTAGGTTGGGGATATGCCGGGTCCGTTTCAGGCATGATGCCGAGTTTGTCCTCACTGGAAATCCAAGAAGACCCAAGCGTGATTTCTGGCTGGACGTTAGGGGCGAGCCGGGGAGATAAGGGAACGGCAGACAGAGGAATGGACACGTACGAGTAGCGAACCAAAGCTTGAAAACATTCTCGAGAAGCTCTCGTTCCTGAGGAGGTAGATCCTGTGGCTAGGTCAACCAACTTGCACGCAGACGAAGTGAACTTGCTCGTGGATACTCACCGAAGAGTGGGTGTGCGCCATGGCCTCGCTATAGTGCCGCGAGATGATGTCGTCTTGTCCTTTCCGCTTCCAGTACTGTCGCCAGGCCTGTTCAGCATGTTCCGAGACGTAATCCTTGAAGTATTGTACGGTTTTGGAGAGGTTTGCCAGAGCGTACGGGGCAATCTCGTGTCGTCTTGCTTTGCTGGCTGTGTACCATTCGCGATGGACTCTGTCGCCTTCTCGAGGGTGAAATTTGCGTACTTGCAGCCGGATTGGGAAGCCGACGGGGCAAATATCCTGCATCATGTCGATGTGTTGAATCAACGGGCCATCCCAATCGTTGACATCAGTCACTCGTGATCCGTCCCAGCGCTGGGTGTAATTTAAGGAGCCTGCCGGACGGTACAATATAATATCGGTCAGTTTGGAGCGCATGCAATGAACGGGCCGGGTTGTCTTCCGCGAAGTTGTATCAACACTGAGACAGGTCATGCAGTCGCCATGAGGATCGTTGGGGTTCTCGACACACTGTCACGGTTGGTCAGTCTTGTATCGTGTGCTGCAATTGGCGCCTTGGGCCTGAACGGTTCTTACTCGTATCCGCTGGGTTCGGCATCGAACACATGCCTTTCGTCTTCGAGTGTCCGCCGTCTGTTTTCGCTTCTCATCGTCGAAACAACCTCTAGACTTCTTGTCTGCGTGGTTGGCATCCGGGTCTTCGGCAGCGTCGGGATCATTGTCATCATCATTTGCTGGCGCCAAAGCGATCCGGAAATGCATATCTCTATACTCGAGAGGAGCCTCTTCTGGCTTGACCATGTATGGAAACTCATCCACCCAGTTGTCGTTGGTCGTTGGTGGGTTCGCAGGTCCAAAGGTGGGCCCATGTACCGGTACGTTGCCGACATGTTCGACGGACGCCAGGGACGAGCCGCTCCAGTCCAACGCAGCTGCCTGTTGCTCGCTCTGCCGGATGGAGACGCCATCTCTCGCGCGTGTGCCGTCAAGTGAGATCAGGGTCATGGTGTTGCTAGGAGTGGGATGGGTGAGCTGGTGCTGAGGGTGGCCGTGACTCTCGTCGAGAGACAGGCTGTCCGCGATCGGGGAACGGAAGATTTGCTGGTCAAGGCCCAGCAGATCAGTCTGGTCTTGTAGGAACGGCGAGAAAAACCACGGCTGCTCACCGCTGGTCGCCAACGCCGCAGGGGGCACGGCAGGGGATGGACGTGGATAAGCGGGCTGGCACCGTGTCGTCACCAGTCCCAGGGCTGTGGGTGTGGACGAATCGCCGGTGATGGAGCTAGAGCCGGAAGCAAACCGCTGGCCGTGTCGAGTCAAACCCCGAACGTGTTGGAGGGCGTGGGGAGCAGCCGACTCGACAGACGAGGCCCAAGATGCCGGGTCCTCGACGTCCATGGACCAGTCAGGGCATACGACAGGGCTGGCAGGCAGGCCATGGTAGTGGTAGTGAGAGGCCGGGCGGCTTTGATCCGAGGCCAGGGGTCGGTTGGCGACACCGCCAACACGGTCATGGTCGTGATTGTGGTTGTGGCCGAGATGGTGGTTGTGTGCATGGGCGACTGCTCGTCCCTGGTCCCCGTCCTTGAGCGGCCATAGTTCTTGGGGGCGGCTATGGTTGGGCTGCGGCTGTCGTCCGGGTGCGCAAGGGTCGGTCGGACCCAGCGCAGTGGTTGCCGGGATCGCCTGGGTCGATCCTGCCGTGTAAGCGGAGTTCGAGGCGGGCACCAGGCCAGAGACAGGTGCACTACTAGCGCCCCACTCGGAAGGAGACCGGTGAGCCCGGGGAGGCCGGTCAGCAGGGAAGGAGCTGACGGTTCGTGATGGAGAGGTGAGGTCGTGGCGTACCACAGCCTGGTGGGCAAGAGCACTGGGCACCCAGTCGGGGCTGGCTCTGACGGCGGTGACAAATTTTTGTTCCTGTTGCCGTTGCCAACTGTGTGGAAGATTCGAGACGTTGTATGAGTCGTGCCTGCCGCTGTGATGTGTGCCGGCAATGGTTCTGGGCTCGTGCCTGCTTCCGTCGGATGGCATGAAAAATACCAGAGGAGAAGGAGCCATCCCGTGGTGTTGCGTTTGTGGCCAAGATGCCGCCGGTGATGCGGACACAAACTCAGATCCAGGTGCGCCTGCCGCATGTCCAGAAGGCTCGTGTGCCATCGTCATGATCGGCTGCTCCTGCCTTGGCTTCAAGGGCGGATCCGTCTCGCAGCTCGTCGCTGCACATGCCCATGGCTCCTTGCTCCATGACAATGGCGATTGTTCTGAAGGTGGTGACGGCGCTCTTGGCGATGGTGGCCTCGTTGACAAACCCCCGGCCGCATCCAGGTTGATCGCCGTCCACTGGCCGTTGGCGGGATGCGAAACGCTGGCGGAAATACCGTTGTTTCCAGCATGATTCCCGGCCCAATTCCCATTGTTGTTGGGAGCAATGGTCGCAGTCCTTGCAGGTTCGGCATGCGACCATTGTTGTTGGTCGTCCGACCCTATAGGACACCATCCCTGCTGTGATTGCAGCCCCACGGTCGCATCGCCTTTGCTCGTCTCACCGGTCGAAAACCGCGCTCGGTGGCTGGATAGCTGGTGCTGCTGGTGCTGGCCTGAAAACCAGCTTTTTGCGTCTGCCACGCCAAGCTGAGCAGTCGCTGCTACTGTTGCTGCTGATGCTGTTGCTGCTGTACCAGTACGACGCTTCCTCTTCAGAACGGGCGCCTGTCGCGGAATGGTCGTCAATACATCAGCCCACCAGGACGCGCTGCGCCGCCAGAGATGGGAGTTCAGTGCGCGCCGTTTGTCGCCCGTCTGCCCATCGATCGACCAACGGAGCTTGCCGTGCAGAAATGTAGGGTGTGATCAGTATTCCTGCCGGCGCGATCCTTTGTTGTGTCGACACTCTCAATGCCTGATTTGTGACAGTCGGAATGGGAACGGAGGCAATGCTGCGCTTGCAACACAGGAGGGACCGTCGGCGCGCGACGCGCAGCTGGCATCGGGACGGAACGCGACTAAGAAAAAAGTACACACTCACCAGGGTTGCGGGCAGCGCTCCCAAAGGTCTTCCGTTCCATGCCCCTGGTGAAGCGCCCGATGGCATCCTCGACCGGCTCCGTCTTTCAGCTGTCGCGAGGGGGGTTGCAACCTGCATCGGGGAATCGTGCAAATCAACTTAGATGGCGACCCTGTCGTGGCCGGTGACGGTGTACCGGCTTGGAAAACTGGACAGCTGGAAACGAGCGCCCTGCGCTGATGGCGAACAGACCGGCGACCTGTTGCGCGCGCGAGCATGCACTGATTTGCTCAGATGTCGAACGACGACGCGCAAGTTGAGTGCTGATGATGAGACTTGGGGATGGGCCCCAAGACGATGACAGATTTGTCCTGCGCTGATGCTGACTCCCCCCCTTCTCTGGCCGCACCGCCCGCGCACCTTCAGCTTGACTCTGCGCAAAAGGGAGATGAGGGCTGAGCGGGGGAGTCGGGGGTGGGCCAGGCCAGGCCAGACCGGGCAACAACCCAGTTGCCTCTTTTCTCTCACGCCCCGCTGACGCTGGCCAACTTTCACTGAGCTGCTCACCCTCATGAAGCTCCCGCCGTTTCCCACGAATCGAGGTATGGAGCGGTGAAGCGCCGTTGTTGACTTTGCGCGTGTTGAGTGATCGTTCTGATTCTCGCAGATCTGATTTCCACTTGCAACATTGCCTCTCGATCGTCAGGAACAAGTCGAAGGGAGAGGAGAAAGACTACGGTGGTGTCAACTGGCTCTCGAGGCCGGAGCGAACGCAGCGAACAGTACCAACCAGGAAGGTGAGGTGAGTCGCACAATAAAAGGCTGTCTTGCCAAGTGGCGAGTTGAAGTCGACTCTGTGAGTGAAAGCTTACCCACAGTGTCCTTTTCACCTATTCGACGGCTCAGAGTGCCCAGTCAGCCTGACGCTTGCACACAAGTATACTCGCTCATCAATTTCGCGACCCAGGACCATCACAGCGCCTGGTCTCAAGGCTGACATGAAAGCTGCACGTGAGTGGAATCACAGTCACGTGTAGAGTGCTATCGACATCGCCAGCTGTTACACAGCTGTCGCCTGTGAAAACCCCTGTTCTGGAGTTGGAATGGGCGTCTGTCTTCGTGCCACGAGGGGAAACACTTTAACATGGAGCCTCTGGCGTTTATGATGTTCCTGATCATCGCCTAGAACCTGGGCCCTCGATCCTAGACCCCAACCTCTTTGCGCGTTATTTGTAGCCTCGAGCCATCAGCCCTCTTCGCCCTGTTGGGTGTCGCGCACAGAGCCTAGAAGCGCGCTCGCTCGCTGTACGCGTCAGACAAATTTGATGTACTGGTGACCGACCTGGCTTGGACTGCCGCTGGATGGAGCGTGGGCTGCCAAGCTTGTCAATGCAGGGGCAGAAGGGGTTATCTGACAGGCCATATGGATACCATTGAAACTCTAACTATCATCAGTCCCTCTTGCGGGCTCACCGAGAGGAGTACATGGTCCCAATCGGCTGCTAGCCCGGCCCTAGTGTTGGCGCACCCGAAACCATGTTTAAGTTTCTTCATATACATGCCCATCCTGCAGGATCAAAGCATCGGCATTGAGAACTCGTTCGAGTCAGTGGTCGGTCCGGGACACGGGAGCCCAAGAGAGCACTGCGATCCTCGACCTGGTCTAGGCCGCCAATTCCTGACTCCAGATTCCCCGTGGGGGGTCTTCACTCACCTTGGATGATCTATCGCTCCCAGACGATAAGTTGGGGAACCGCGTGAAAGATCATCCATCAGATTCTCTCAACCCGAAATGGAGCCACCACGATCACCCTTGGAGGCGAGAACGCCATCAAGCCCCAACGGCCCCACCTTGTGCCTCGCGGTAGGAGTGGGGGAAACGTTCCGATCTGGCATCGGCATCCCTAATCACCACCATCAGGTCGCCAAACCCGCGAGCCCTCAGCTACAATGCTGTAAGAGATGCGCCGTTTCCGTGATGTAGTCACTAAATGATCATGTACCTACAGTACAACCAATTCAACCACACATGGTGTTAGACAATTGCCGGCCGGACAGTTGGCCAAGAACGGCCTTCCCATCATTCCAATGCCTACCTTGTCCCATCCTGGTCGTATTGCAACAGCCGAAATCATATCGACGACACCTTCGTATCGTCAATCGGCCTGTCATCCTGATCTGACGACTTACTAAACCTGGCCGACTTCAGCCACCCGAAAGTACGCGGGTCCACAAGCCATTGACGACGGACTGGTCCGGACAAACGCCCCTGGTAGGAAGCCTAGTGGCGCGCATCCTGTACATGGCACATTGACCACAAATACCATGGCACCCTAGTCGCCAGGCCCATCTTCCGAAGCTCCGTCACGTCACACGTACCCACGATTCTCCTGACGGGCCTCGACCTCTGCTCTCTAGCAGCTTAGATTCTGGCCACAACACACGCACATCCCCTCCCGAGCTAAGCTCCGACGATGGTCACTCCTGACAAGGGCCGGGGGTCTTTTCCGCGATCTTGTCGCCATCTTTCGCCGGGGAACACCAGCTGCCCATCCGTCCTATCCCACTACACCACAATGGGCGAGAAACCCCCTCCTTCACCTCGATTCGCTTGTACCCGGCAACCTTGATACAACGCTTCTTTCCGCCTCTGCAGGGCTATAGCTCATCATGGCGTGCGGGAACCATCCGCGGCGAAACAATCGATTCATCGGTGTGCCACGCTGCCCAGGCCCTGAACATCCCAAGTTGTTTAAATAGAGAGCCCTCAGCATGGATTCCTACTTCACCTCCTCTCGAGGCCTTAGTGACCTCAATCGCATTCTTAAATTCTGCCTCAGACCGGTGGCAAGTCGTGCGCTTCAAAACCAGTCTCGAATTACTAGGCTAAGGCCATCGTCATCAACATGACGATCTCTTCGGCTCTCACTTCCCCCACACGCGAACGAAAGCCCATTGGAGGACCTCTGGCGTGGCACCAGGACAGCTTTTCTGATCCATCAGTCTACACTATTGATCTAGCGAAAGACAGGCTCCATATTGACAATGCTCTTGAGTACCTACTCGGTAAGCCCTGTTCAGTCATGAAGGTCGGGTTCGTCTCGCTGACCACAGATGAGTAAAGACTTAGGTCTCGACCCTGAGGAAATTGACCACACTCGATTCCCCTTGCCTTCGAGCGTTGTCGACAAGCTTCAGCAATGTGCGCATACCATCCATGAGGGTGTTGGCTTCTGTGTGCTTCGCGGCGCCACTTCATGCTACTCTGTCGAGGATAGTGTGACTGTCTTATTAGGCATTACATCCTACATAGGTGACCAAAGAGGCCTCCAGAACAAGCAGGGACACATGTTGTCGCACATTACCGAATCCAAGGGATGGAAGGTTCCTCGCAAAGAGAGGCATGGAATACACTCAAACGCCTCATTGCCATTTCACACAGACATGGGAACAGACATTATCGCTCTTCATGTTCGCGGCTGCTCTGCTGAAGGAGGCAATACATATGTCTCTTCAGCGTCATCGGTCTTCAACGATCTTCTTTCCTGCCCCGGCGCTCTTCAGACCTTGCTGGAACCCAATTGGCCGATCCAAATTTCTAAAAGACAGGCCCGAACTACCTGCGTGGTCAGATCATTATTGGAACCAGAATGGCCTGCAGCTCCCTGCCGATACATCCAGGCGCCTCTCTTAACGTTCCATCAGGGACGACTACTGGTCAGCGTTGACCCAGCTCGGCTAGGACCCCAGTCCTCGCCCCGTGGCTCAGATAAGGTGCCGGTCCCAGATCTGAGCTTTGATCAGAGGGCAGCACTCGACGCCTTGAAAGCAGCCTGTCACAGAAATCGAGTCCGCATTGAAGCTCAGCCTGGAGATATCATCCTCATCAATAACTGGGCGCTCTTGCACAGTCGGGACGCATATTTAGACACTGAATTACACACACGTCACCTTGTCAGACTGTGGCTGCGGAATTCCAAATTGGGCTGGTCCATCCCTACGAGTATGTCTGTTCCTTGGCAGACTGCCTACGGCGATGACCCAGTTGACCGAATCTTCCCCGTGGTACCCACGGACGTATACCCTACACTAAAGTATACGGCCGGTTCAGCTGCATTTGTCCTTGAGGATAGTGATGGGGAATGATGGTGCTCCTTTCTTTAGCTACTCTACTTTTGCTCTCTCTCTCTATTTTGTCTCACTTTCAATCACTCTTTCCTCAAAGCAACGACGAGGTTCCCCCCCTGTATTCAACAGGTACGAACTGATTAACTTAGTAGGATGCACATATGGCGGAGGACGCTTGAGAAATACAGTCGCGCTGAAAAATGGGTTTGTGGAAATGTACTTTCTTGCGATTGGCGCATTGTTGCACATGTAAATGCTGTCAGACTCTTGGGCTCCGTCCTAGCAGATGAATGATGTCGCTTCATGCCATTTTGGGCACCTGTGTGCATCTATATCCAGACCATGACAGGCGGGACGGCCCTCGTTTCAGGCAGGTTTAGGGTATGTCATACCCGAAATCTGACAGTTACAATGAAGCGAGATACTGCCGTCAAGTGCTTATAGCAGGCTCGGAGACGGCACCCGTAATTGTGCCAAGGTTGTCATGTTCCACGAAGCCCTGCCTGGAAGGTCTCCCAACAATGACCATCAAATAACATCAGAGAGAAATGAACCCGCCTCGAGCCATAGAAATCTGTTTTCGGACCTATCCTCATCATTGACTGCCGACAAGGAGCCCAGAGTACTCACCGATTGGTGGGCTTTCCACAGAATGGGTGTGGACTGTGAGCGACGTGATGATGTGCATCCCCTGCCTGCTGAAGAAACCCACCCCCTCCACTTCTCCCCTCCATACATTCACTCCAGCTACTTGCATCAAGCTCCTGCATGCGAGCTCTGACCTTGCAGACTTGACATATGCGCGGAAGGGGCGGGGGTTGCCCAGTGTGACAGCCTATAAGGACGAGTCTGTTCACCAGGCTGCCGACGGACTTGTCAATGTTTGGTAGCGCCTTGTGGGCACTCATACCCTAGGGAGACCGGTGAATCTCCCTGCTGTCTCTGAGAGAGGGGCGCGATTGGAGGCGCCTGACACTATCTCCCTGGAAAAGCTACCGAGTCTTTTCCCATGCCTCCGTATTGTAATTGGACCTTGCAGAGGGTTGACAGGACTGACTGCCGGACTCCTGTCCACTTTGCGTGATCGCTAATGAGTCGGCTGATGGGGCCCTGGTGTCATGAAAAGACACAATGGTATGTACCAGACAAAGCTGTGGTGCGACGCCATAACCCGGCGGGGATATTGTGTGCTAGGAGTGGAGGGCAGCTCCAGCTGGCCCGCCCGGGCGATGACCCCCTCCCTTTCCAGGGGCGTCTTTGGTCTTCACTGGGCTGCAGAGGGTCATCTCGCCTGATGGTGTTGTGGACTGACTCCCCTGACGCTGGGTTGTGCTTTCTCCTAAGGCCCTCTCCGGCTTGGCCTCCAATCGTCTTTGTGTTGTGTCGATATGGAGAGGGTTCCGAATGGCAGGGCATCGTCATCATAATTCTCGGCTCTGGCGACCGACTCGCTTCGTTGTGAGTCTTCCATCCGGGCTGTGACCTAACGCGGCCGATGAAACCTGTCTTGGAGCTCCAGGCGAGACTGAAGCTTGGCTTGCACTGTCGGTCAAGAGCATCACCAACGGCAGGCGCACGGTGGTATGTTTTGATCTAATCCCCATTTGTGATGACATGGGGTGTTGCGAGAGCGGCCGCGGAACAGAATGGCGTGGCACAAGGTCCAAACGCTTGACTGCAAACGGGAAAAGGCAGGTATGGTTGGATGAGTGTTCCGATCCCAGAAGCACTGGAAGGGGCCTTCACCTATGGCACTCGGAACATGAGATGTTAGGTACTGTTGTGATCGCCGGGTGTTCATACATTCATATTGCTCAAGCGTTGGTACTGAGTTTTTTTTGTCTTGCTACGAGGAGATGGTTGCATTGTGACTCGAGCTGCATCTCCATGTCTCGCTACTCATGTGGGTTGAGCAGCAAATTCGACCACATCAGCTGAAGCAATCAAGGTTGATGGCAAGCTGATGCCTGGGCACTTTTCCAAAGATTTTCATTACGCGTCATGCTGCTGCGATGCCACGTCTCCCTTGATGGCTGGACGGGCGCTAGATGTTGCGTGCCTTGATTGAAGTAAACCTCCTCATCGTGTGAGTCCTACATCGATGACCAACTGGCTGTTCGTCTGTAAGATTTTCTGTTATCAGTGATACCCCTCACGAGACCATCATGAACTTGTCTGATGGTTCTGCAATTTCGAATCATTTTGGCTATTCCGGCCTCTCATTGGCGGCAACGTCGGACCTTCAGACGCCTCCCAGCGCCAGACCACACGACGAGGCGCACAGAAAGGGGGTGCTTTTGTCTTGCGTAGGGGCTCAACTCAAGGATGAGGTGTTTGGACTGCTGATCTGCATCTGCACGGCCAGTGTTGAGCTGCCACGTCTGGAAAAGTGTTCGCTTCACGTGGGCTCTCTCGCCCTTTCGAGTTTGACAGGCTCTGGACGCTTCCATTGGCATGTGCCTTCCTATCAGAAGAAGATGAGTGGGACAAGAGCAGCTGCGAGTCATCAGCATCACTTCTTATTCGAATGGAGCTGCAGCATTGCGTATGAGCGTCAATCAGGTTCGTTCCTCAACAGACGAGTCAGAGCATGGCTGTCAGGGGCGAAGACTCGAGACAGCCGCGGCTTGGGAGAGCAGTCCGACAGGCGCCAATTCTCGGTCCTCGTCAAGTCTGTCTACTTTCAGCTTTGTAGGCCATATGATCGTTTGCGGAGCAGGAGCGAGAGCGAGGAAGGTTTCCGCTCGCATCTCATCTCAACAGTGGCTCGTGGAAATGAAGCTTCCGCGCCATTACTTGAGTAGACTAGCGACCCCCTTTGTTCCCCTTATGAGCTGGTTGACAATCCACCATGACAACCACGGCCTTTTCCTCGTTTCGGGCCGAGCTCGTCTCGGGCGAACTCAGGTGTCCGCCAAGCCGTTATATCACCCGGCGCCCCTCTGGCTTTCTGCGTTGTCGCCATACTCTCCACGGCGCAGGCCTGTTGGATGAAAAGATTTGTGGGCACGATCGCAGGGAGGCTCGCTGAGCGTGCATACGCCAGTCTATCACCGTTGACTGAAGTCTCACCCCGACAGATAATCCAACGAGCGAGACTTTTAAGCGACCCAGTAGATTGATGGGAGTCCTCAGGGGTGGAAGCATTGGAAGTCTTGCGTTCCATTCACAGGTACTGGCCAGTCCGCTCATGTGGGACTATGATGCAACGTCAATGTGGTCAAAGAGTTTCAATACTGGCCTGAGAATGTCGCGCAGGCGGGGGAGCGAACTTGGCGTCCATCCACCACTTTCCTACCGGCATGATTGGAAGATGGGTTGGGTGATCATAGGATCCCCGCTGGATTCGCCTGAGTACATAGTATCTCTCACCAACACGATCATATTTTTTTTTTTGGTTGCCGGCGAAATGTGAGACCTGACTGTCATATATACATCCCAGGGATTGGCACAGGTACAGGTGTGAATCACCAGAATGTCTTTGATTGTTTGCACATGTCTAATTATGACATGATATATAATAAAGTTTGACGTGGATACGGTAAAAAGATTGTCGTCTGACAGGCTCTCGAGGCATGTGGCAGCGGCATAGCTGTCAACTTGAATTCCTCTACTTCATCCCGCCCGTTGTCGGCCCGCCCCACGTGATGTCGCAGATGGCTCGCATCTTTCTCCCTTCGAGGATTTCTTTACCCTCTCTCCCTTGCCGCATAGTGACAGCTGAGGTATGGGGTTGGCGGCGTTAATAAAATGACTTGTGGCGTATTTGTCGGCGCCTGCTGTTTGTCTGGTAAGCAGTAGCTTCGATAGGTCCAGCCACAGGCTTTGGAGTGGAGGTGTAGGCCTGTCTCCGCTGAGTTTTCGCTCAAGGCCTCCAGCAACACGCAAGACAGAGGGCCAAGGACTACAAAGATCGAGTTGTAGCTCGTGAACATCCATAGCATGTCCATCGAGCTTATCTTTTGCTAAATCTCTAACCACAACCAGTGCTAGTGGATGACGCTTTATTGTGGGTATGCTCGCTCAGAGTCCTTAAGGCCGCTATCTGTGTTGATGCCGCACGTATTCCTTTCCAGAAAATAGCCAGCCCTAGACCTGCGTTCGGGGTAGTCCCCCAACCGCCGGATCATGGTCCGAATTTGTCACCCCTCGAACTTTGACCAGCACTGAATCGCATACTGACCCTACCAGGACTACTTCTCAAGATACGCAAAAGACAATCGCATGGCGTCTGTTTAGCCAGCGTGTCGCATGTTGCGTTCGCGGAAACAAGATATTTTGCATGGGGACCAAGCCACCGCTCGCTTTGGAACTAACAGTTGGCCTGCGGTTTACGGAATCGACGCATGCACGCTGCATGTCAACTACAAGTGTACTTCCTGCTTGTCAGAAGGTTTCAACTGCTGCAAGATCATGCAACTGCATCCTCGTTTAGTAGCCTCTAGACGCCGTATTTGAGTACCTCCTCAAGCCGTCGGCTTTGTCCTCTCCATCATCCGCCAGTTCGCCCGCATATGCGCCGGCATAGATTGGTGCTGGCCAGTCTCTGTGACATAACCATGCACGAGCCCTGGCGAGCTGCTGATTCGTGTCAACGAGGTTTTTCTATGCTCAAGCTTGACTCCATTCCAAACGACGAGTGTCGGGGGCTGGGGAATTGGAAAACCGTCATTCTTACAGACGAACGATCAGCTTCACGCTTCAACTTGTCATCGTAGTGCATGGGTGTAATTCAAGCTCACCAATATATGGCTTTTGCTACTAAGTTTTGCCTGTTTCAGCCTTGTTAGCTGAAATCAATAGCAAAATCGTAGCATCAGCCCAGTAGCAGGCTCACAGGTGTCCAGACCATTCATGCACGGACGATTGTTCAAACCCCTGAACCCACTTAACCATCTGGCCCGGATCTGTCAGTTTCTGCGTGAAATGACGTGATCAATGGCAAGAACCGCACTGCTGTCAGCCAGGAGTCGGCCTGGATAGCCTCCAATTCGAGCCCGTTTGTCGATACGATGAACGAACTTAAAGCGAAGCCCCTTTGCACAATCTCCAATCCCGATTGGGAAGCCATAGGTATGCTATCCGTAGTGCTGTCTAGCCACCTCGGAGCCCACCAGGCCAGCGACCACCGGCGAAGTCGCTCATCAGCAGTGGTTCACGTCAGTCAACCTTGCGAAGCGGAACCTGATGTCGGCTGACTACTGCCCCTCCTGGACGCCGATGAGTTAGTTAGGCCTGAATTGCTTCTGAAGGACAGATGACAGTGCATAGCTGCGTAAAAACATGCTCGGCATAGTCGGCCCCATTCCGCATTGATGGATACGGGCGCGTGCGTATCACGAATGCGGTTCAGCTACTTTCCGCATGGGCTATAAATGGCTCTCTGTACGAAACCGACATGCAATGGCATCTGTGGTACCAGTACCGAAAACGCATTTTTCAAAGCTCAAACGTCTGGTAGAAAGCCGCCTTTTCAGTATTTCAGCGGTGCAGTAGGGTCGGTTTGACTGCATAGCCCGTCATTCTCGCCCTTTGACGTTAGCTGACGGCCAATAATGAGAATTTTCGAAATAATAGTGTTTTCGTTGGCGTGATTTGTATGAGACATACTGTTTAGCACTGCGGAAGGGCCTCCTGCATTCATGCGCTCGAACATCGACATGCGACGGGAAAAGTTTAAAGTCCACCAGCTTAGGAAACATGTGACAAAGCAGCCACTCTACCTTTCACGACGACCTCGAAGATATCCTTCAACAGTGTCGTGAAAGGCATGGAACGGGTCTACCTCATTCCCCCATGACCGGTAAGGAGCACAAACATCATCGGATGAACAGCGATCCGGCGCTACATACACTCTGTGTCGCCTTCCAGAAGCCTAGTAGAGCTTTACATTGGGATCCATCCCTTCGATTGCTCTTCTTTTGGCATTTTTAGCCTCAGTTTTCTTCGCAAATGGCCACTCTGCAACGATGCTCTCACAAGCCATCATGTGATTTCATGAGCTTTCCACTCTCAAGCTCAGCCGAGGAAGCGGAGGTAGCGGAGTCAGATGTCTTATCCCTGTGTATCCATGTCTCGGCCATGTGTTTGTGACTCGGGGGATGTAAGAATACGGGTGTGTTGACACAGGCAGTGTCCACGAACATGCGAACGCCACGTGCTTCCCTAGCCCTCTCAGAGCCGGCATGGGAGACCATCATTCAGTTTGACAATGGCGGCCAATTATCGAAGCCAACCAGATGTCAACAGCGTGGCCCGCCCGAGCATGGTTGCAACAGCTTGAGGAAGGAGATCGGGCTCCGGATCGCGATCACAGACTCGGGATGGCCTTCAGCTGGACCACCTCGCCATCCCCCGGAGCGTGAAATGTCGGAATGTATTCATGTTGTAGTGCTGCCGATTCTCAGGGTTCACAGAGTTAACTGAGCCTTCTTCGTATCAAGGAAACCATACTATGATTGCATTAAGATATAAAACCAAGCGTCTTCCCCATGCCACGAGCAATCTCCGAGAATCGACGCTCGTACGGACTACGCTTCTAAAAGGTTACGGCGGAGCAGATATAATAATTGCCCCTGAAAAAACCCACCCCATGGTCTCAAGTTCAGGTACGACTGAAGCCACGGCTCAAAAAATTACAGGTGAGGCAACTTCTTTCACCCTTCAAGCCACTGTAAGCCTGATGGAAAAACAAAGGCAAAAATTCAAATCCGTCTTTTCAAGGCGTCAAGAACAAAATCCAGTTTTTGTAAAGGTCTTCGCGACGTACTCGCCTATTGGAAGCCGGCCTGAAGACGATTCAGGGGCCGAAACAATATTTGACCGAGTAACCGAACGTGGCGCGAAAACGGCGGCTCGGTTTCCAAGATTGCCAGCACGAAACTGTCCCGCAAAAGCCGCTCCAAAGCGTGATCATGTGCACCTATTACTACCTTCACCATCATCATGTCTCCCCTTGTCGCCGGGCTATCGACTATGTGGTTCACTACGAATTCTGCCCCGACGCAGTCTGGGACTCAGAAGGCAAGAACGGAATTCCATGCGATTGCTCGTTCTATGACCAAGCCCAGTCTGTGGACTACTCGAACCCCTGCGCTACATCAGGGTGTCTTGTGTCACCAGACTGTAGTTCGGGCACCTGTCGCCTGCAGGATCTTGGAGGACGTTGGACATGCTGCCAGTGCCAGAGAGGTAACAATGTGCTGCGATGGTGTGGTCATAAGATGAGAAAGAGTCCTGACACATTCTGCTACCATCGAGCCTGTGAAGGCTGCACTCAAGATACCCGAGAGTGAGGTTCTCGAGGGTATGAAAATCGTATGTCAAGATGCAACAATGGGTAGTTTAAAGGGCTCTCGGCGTCAAGCAGCCGGGCTTGGCAAATGTCAGGCCAGCTTTAAGCAATGCAAGGGTTCAAAGAGTAACTTCATCCGGCACATCTCAGCTGACAAGGATTAGTTTACTCAACATGAGAATCAGGAGGTAAGGTAGAAGCCATCAGTGGCTCTGCAGCTGATTGAGTCAGGGGTTCAGGGGCTCACGCATCAGAAGCTGTTCATATGCTGCTACGCGATGGCTTGTCAGCCAACACCAGCCAAGACACAGCGAAAAGAAATTCTAGATGAGGAAGAATATTGAACTGAGAAACTGTCACACAAAGCCCCTCGCGTGTTGCAAAGTCTTACTCGCCCGAAGCAGCTGGTCGAGGCATCTAGGTCGCCGACCAACGGCGCCACACAAGCCATCCAATTACATCGTAAAAGCACTTCCAGTAACCCAACACATTCAGTTTGTGCAAGTCATAGTTAGGCAAAAATTTCGATAGCTCAATGTCGTTTCCTGGGCGAATAACGTATGAATCTTCGCCCCTCTCGTTTCAGGCCATAGCTCGCGCACCCTCCTCTGTGGTGATCGCTCCGTCAACTTTCGTAAGCTCCCAGGTCATCTTTATCAGTCAGACACCACCCAAGCATGCAAAAGTTGAGACTTGGCAGTTGTATGCCACGTTTTCTTCCCAATATTACCGCATCCGATTTGCTTCTGTTGGATAAAAACAGCATCAGAAGGGTGTTTTCCCGAAGCACTAGCTAGCCACATTGACCGAGAGATTTCGGGCTCTTTCAGAATGGAGGACAGAAGCAGAATCAGCTATTATCTGATTCGACAGCCGGACCACATACGGTTACGGAGTCGCTGGTTCAAGGTGTTTTCAAGAGAAATACGATAAGTGGCATTGTGCTTGACCGCAGGTAGCCTGAGCCATCTAGTTTGCCTTTTAAGAAGACCAGGCTCGTCTGAATGCTCAATCCGTTTCTTTGCTTGACCGCGTTCTACACCAAGTGCTTCCGCTCTACTGGATGAATCATTGTACACTTTCAGACCGCTTCAAAGAAACCTAACTGGTACGCTAATTCGTTTCTGGTGTCTTCTCTATGACATACCCAGTAACCTGAAGTCTACCATTTATTTACTTATCACCGATATCTTTCTGCAGAAAACTCATGATATTCCGAACATGTGCAACCAAACAACCTACAAACTCCCATGCGAGCATGTTTGCACTCGAATTCACTACTGCGCCTCAGCACCGAAGAAAATCTCCTCGACCGGACGCGGAACTTGCAAAAACGTAACCTACCATAATGTTCCCTACGCGCCACCTCAGGATTTGGAATCGCACTCAACCCTCCAGTGCCCACTAAAAACATGCCCATACGAAGCACGGAACAGGTGCTGGAACTGCTGCTGGTGCGGCAAGGGCTGGAACATGAAAGGCAGGTGCAGTTGCATTATGATCAGCGAGGGCAATGAGTATCACTGTGAGCATATTTGCTGCTCGGCCTGTACTGCGGCCCCCTTGGACTGCTAGAGATTTGCTAGATTGAACAAGATACTTCGTAGAATGGAAGCTTGGCACATGAATTCTACGAAATGGTTTGTAGTGATAGCCAACGTCCAATCTCTTTCCCAATGGCGAACCCGGGCAATTCATTAATAATCTCAAGAGCCTCAATCAATCCATACTCTACGCGGAATCAAACCGTGACTGATGGTAGAACAGGTGCCAGAGGAGTTTCTTGGTTAGCACCGCCTGCCGAACGAGAAACTGGAAGCCACATCGCGAGTATCAAGGCTGAATTATCGAAGACAGGGCGAGGGCGTAAATTCGAAGGGATGAGGGAGCCAAACGAAGGCTGAGATTTGAGTTCTTCCAAGGCTTCGTGAACAGACTCAGTGGTCAAGACCTCTGGTTTCTTCATAATCGTGAGAATTCCAATCAACTTAGCGTCTGGCTGGTAGAGAAGCCAGATACCTGCAGCTCCTCGAGCCTTGGAAGCTTTTCGGAGGCTCGGATAAACGCCCTGAAGCTCTTCCTCGACATTGTCTCCGTCGTACTCCCATCGTTGAAAGCGGGTGAAACCATGAGTTTCGGGCAAAAAGAACTGGCAGGCACCCGAAACACGCCAGATCCAACGGTCAACCTTCTGAAATATGTTTGAGGACCAGAACTTTTGTGGTGGGTCGCCCGTCTCTAAGACGTTCGTCGTCCAGTCGTCATAGTCTAAGGCATCGTCCCAGGTGTTGAATAGATAGCGTCCGCCAACAACTGCCTGACCGGTGACACTGTGAGGCTGGTAGGGTACATACTTGATGTACATGCCCTTCCGAGTGTCCATTTGTCGACGCGCAAACTCTTGCTGACTGACGGCAGTAGTGAGATCAATGCCGTTGGCCAGAATAATGTCAGAGGTAAAAGCAGCCTGAGCAGCGATTTCGCCAACTTGGTATCCTTCGATTACGGACATTGTGCTGTTGAGTATGATATTGGAGTTTTCAGAGGTTGTTTGTGATCTTGTCGAAGACTGCTCCAGCTTTGAACAAAATGTTTACTGCGGAAAAGCCAGGAGCGGAGGAGGCCATGCTCTTCATAAAGGAAAACTTTTTAGACCGTCACTGTAAGCACTGTCATCTCACGTCAGGCCACATTGGAGCTGACATTGTGAGCTAGTAGTCGCTCGTCTCCCTCCAGCACAGCTGAGTACTTAAGGTTCAGTTGGCCAAATTTCATGAACCGGACGGCTGAGCTTAGCCCTCTCTCTCTCTCTCTTCTCCCGATCACGTTGATTGTACATCATGGGAACTTGAGGTCTTTTGCAATCTGTGCAAGCATTGAACAATCTACTGGAAGCTCATAACAACAATGCAGCCGCGAATGACGACCCTCCCAAAATTCACTCGTGACTGCAATCCATGTCCAGCGGAATCTAGGCGAACCGCCGGAAGCTGGTCAACAAGACGCAAGAACTAGACGCTAAATTGGCGAGGATCCCATCCGATGCATGTCGCTTCCCCGCAGCTGACCACTTGTGTTGCAAATGGAGGATATGGCCCATGGCGGAATTTGATTCGGCAGCGAAAGCTCCACGCCTCCATGTGGGCTGATGGTCAACGGCCGAGTCTACATTATTCAGAACCAAGAAGTATCAAGCATACTGGACTTGGCAAGGCTACCGTTCCACCCTATCATCCACACTTGGCTAGCCCATCGTATTGCTGGGGTGACATGGTAGCAGACCACAGATCGACCAGTGTCGCTTGTGTCGCTGGATCTACAACCGTTAACTTAAGTCGCTAGAGGCGTTGAGTGCCGATAATAGGTGAAGCTCTCCAGCCAGGCCTGTCCTCTCTTTGTCTCAAGATCGAACGGCTCACTCTCAAAATACACTGAACCGCTGACTGAGGGCATAGAAACGATTCCACTCTTGTGTGACAGCGCGCACTTTCGCTCCGCGAACTAGCCAGTTGGACAATATATCGACGTTGCACGGAAGATGCGGGCAGCCACCGGGGATGAGGTTCCAGATGAGCGGGCGTCAGCATTTTCCTCTTCAGCTCTAGCCACGTCCGGACGCCAAGTGCGTCGCACAAAGATTGTCTGCTTACGGTCCATTTGCTTACCGAAGTTGGGGAGGAGGCGGGGAGATGTTTTAGATACGTGAACTACGAGACCCGGATACTGTGGTCACTCATGTTTCTCAATGGCCTTCGGCGCAGCGCCGGGTGGAGGACGTCTTCGCACAAGGCCAATATCGAAACCCGAGACATTGATAGCCTTTCTGGTCTGCTGGGTCCAGGAGATGCATCGAGGAGGGAACTTGGGCCACTAGGTCCTGCATAGATCATTCCCGTCAGAGCGAAAAACTGCACTGTACTCGATGAGAGAGGAAAGACAGCGAGATCGGCTCTTACCTCCTCGATCATGTCGGAGATGGTTGGCGTGCTTTGCATATTGAGATGAGGTCGGGGGCGTGTAGGAGGCTGTTGTTTTGGCCGGGGATTGGCCTCATCTGTGATGAAGGATGACAATCATGGGAATAGTGATCGAGAATGCCCATCTGAGCTGATATGCTTTCGGTCTTGAAGAATCATTCTACAGAACTATTCGGCCACCAATTTCTTTATAAGATTGGTCGAGATCGCTGTTAAAGAATTGAACGGTTTTGTAGCAGATTCTCTTCGTTGGCATAGTCCTCTAGCACGTTCTGCAGCAGCTGCTTGACCAGTATACCATCCTCATTTATCGTCAGGCTGCAAGTACAGAAGCGGCGTCATCCTGAACTTGCTTCTCTTACCTACAACCCGACGAGAAGTTAATCACACGACAACCGCCAAGATGTGTCATGGACATCCTCGCCATCACCCTTGCTCCCACACCTCGGTCAACTGGCATTATTGCCCAGCGGCTATCATCGACCTCGACACTGGCATCGAGACACCATGCTCGCACCTAAGCTACGCTGCAGCGCAGCCATCAAACACAGACTGTGCATTACAAAATTGCCACTACAAGGCCATGGGCGGAAGTTGGTCATGCTGCCAGTGCCAGCAAACATCCAACAAGCTTGGGTGGTGCACCAACATCATCTGGAAGACGTCGGACGACCCAGTCAACGTCCCAAGAGCAGCGTATCGACAGGAGCCTTGTGCTCATGGATGTTGCGAGAGATGCAGCAGATCCAGTGAGCCATCCCTGACTCCCCATCTGAAGTATTAAAGGAATGCGTGCCCAGGACTGACGTGCCATGGTTTCAGCTGCCACATGCGCCACCTCGCCCGGAATGACATTCCCCGAATTGCGCAAGGGGACGGCGAGCCGCAAGTTCGGCTTCATCCGGCGCCGCGATCGTCGCACCGGCGTGGGTCGGCGTTCTCCCTCCTCGGAGGGTTCCCGCCCGTCAGCGAAGAGGAAACAGAGCTTGAAGCCGCCGGTTCCGAGGCGTCAGGGTATGGCTCGTCGACAGCGCCTACAAAATCGCAGTGCTCGAGAACTTCGTCTTCGTCTACGAGCGCGAGCAGCGTCGCGTCCTCACACTACGAGGAACTTGACAGGGGTCTCGTCGGGGTGGCGGCTGGGCAACGGAAGCATAGAAGCTCGGGGTCCTCGGGGAAGGGACACGTGGGGAAGAAACACAAGACTCGGGCCTGTTAGTGAACGGCCCGGTCTGCTTTTGACTTGATTACGCTGGTGGCTCAGAAATCAGGGGACTGAAATAGTCCTCTCTTCTTTGGAAGATGCTGGCATCGGGAGTTCGGAGATGTGTCTATCCAGGGAGTGTCGTTCTGAATGCTTCTGAGTGAGCTTTTTTTTTCTCGACGAAAAACCCATGTATCAATCGATGCACAGCTGTGGTAAAACTGTCCCATGTGGGACCAGAGACAAGCCCTTGCTGAGTGGGTGTGCCGTCTGGGACGAGTTGATTCGTTCTGTTTGTTGGAATGTACAAAACACTGAAAGACATCGTGGCTAAACTGTTGGGAATGAGACTTGGCCCTGGATGCCAGAGAACCAACTGCAGAACGCTAGATCGAATAACCCTGCATGACG